AGTACAATAATAGAAATTTTTAGGTTTTATGGGATAGAAGATAAAGTTTTAACAATTACTTTTCATAATGCATCAGCTAATACAGCTGTAATTAATCTGTTTAAACGTAGTTTGAAACCGGCATTTGGAGGGGAAATTTTTCATCAACGGTGTGCATGTCACATAATTAATTTAGTAGTTCAGGCATGAATTGAACATATCTCTGCTAATCTTACAAATATTAGAGAATCATTATCCTTTATATCTAGTTCTGGAGCTCGGCTCCAAGAATTCAAACAATATTGCAGGAACAACTAGATGCGCCCAAGAAAGTTTTCAACTGACGTGAGACATAGGTGGAATTCAACATATTTAATGTTGAAGGCAGCACTCTCGTATTCACAGCTTATCACGACATACGTAAACAATAAGAACGATCAAATTTTAATTCTCGATCTTGATTGGCAGATTGCTGAGTATTTTTTAAAATTTTTAGAAGTTTTTTACAATGCTACTGAATTACTTTCTGGAGTTTATTATCCTACTGCACATTTAGCTTTACATCAACTATTTAATATTTCAGAAACATTTTCTTATTATAGGGATACACAACTTTTTGAAAATATAGTTAACTTAATGGAAAATAAATTTAAAAGTTATTGGTCAGGTTGTCCTATGTTATATGCATTGGCAACCATTTTAGATCCTAGGTGCGGAGTAGATGGAACTGAATCATTGATGACTGCTACCGCAGAGAATTTAAAAATAGATATGCAACTAAGTATTACTGACGCTAAGAAAATGTTAGAAAAAGTTTTTAGTTTGTATGAAGCAAAATATAGCACATGTCAAAAAGAACAGGAAACTTCGTCGTCAACTACCAGTTCGAGGCCTCAAGGATCGTCGTGGAGTTTCTTGAAGAAGAAAGAGAAAACGGCAGGATCGTCCTCAACACAAGCGTCTACGGAACTAGTCAAATATTTTGAAGCAAATTTTGTAATCGATGACGACAAACTAGACATCTTACAGTGGTGGAAGAGCAAGACAGATCGTTTTCCAACACTGTCCATAATAGCTCGTGACATTCTGACAACTCCAGTATCAACGGTAGCATCGGAGCAAGCGTTTAGCGCAAGCAACTGAATTCTTGATGAGAAGAGAAGCATAATGCATCCAGATATCTTGGAGGGACTAATGTGCGTTAAAAACTGGGAAGATGCCAGAAGACGAAAACAACAATACACAGATGATTCGATGCAAGAATATTTTTCTAACTTAGAAATAACAGAATCTTCTAGAAGCACTTAGGTTTGTAATTTACTATTCCTAGCTACTGCACTCTTTTTTCCTTCGCTAAGGTTTTGTCCCGATCTCCCCATGGGTTTTACTTAGCAAGGTTTTTAACGAGGCAGTCATTTATGTGTACTCTTATTACGTCAATTCGATAAAATCACATCTTTTGGAGCATTTGATATTTTTTTTTAATTAAGTTTTAAAAAAAAAATACAAGGGCTGGGGCCGGCCCGTGAAGGGCCTGGGCCCAAGCCCGGCCCTGGCCCTTATGGACTAGGGCAAAGGGCCTGGACCGGGCCTGAGTTTTTCTTCTCAAGCCCGGCCCAGGCACGGCTCAGGCCCGTGATGAGCCTGGGGTCAAGCGTGCCGTGCCGGCCCGCCACGACACGTTTGACAACACTATTGAGGGGGAGTGTTAATATTTTAGAAATAATTGCTTTATGTATCTTAAAACATTCTACTGCTATTCAGTTATGCCAACTATTCTGTTATACCTCTAGTCAGGCTTGGAATACGTAAACTTTCCAAGCTTGCCTCTATATATTTTCGGTTGTACCTCCTCCATTGCGATATATGGGAATATGAGATTATTCATCAACTTTTTCTCTAATACTTTTTTCAATACTTTTGAATAGCAGTAATTTCATATTGCGTGCGGTTGATTTATAATGTAACACAGATCATATTAATAATAAATTAATTCAACAATTAAAACAGCATTTTCGGGTTTTAATGTAAGATATTCCTTTTTGTTTCCTGGTATACCTACCACACAACCACGCAATTCTTCCAAGTGCATGGTGACGTTATAGATGAAGCAAATTGCTAGTATTTTTTGATAATTAAATAGCGAATATTTACTTCTCCAGTGGAAACTGCCGGAATCTCCTACAATATTTCTATCATAAATACCCCAAAACCTCACACATAATCAGACCTGTGTATAATCTTCTCAAGTGCCCATATAAACAAAATCCTACCCAAAAAAAAAAGAGAGAGAAGAATGTCAGGTCCTCAATGTTGCTCAAACCCTCCAACTCTAAACCCAAGCAGTGGAGCAGGAAATGTTAATAAGCTTGGTGGAATTAACTCCTATGTCACTGGCGCATCCAATTCCAGGCTTGCGGTACTCCTTATATCTGATGTTTATGGTATATGTCTTTTTTTTTTTGGTATGGAATTCAGTGAAATTTATTTTTTTGTCTTGTGGGTTTTGATTTTGGGTTGTGAAGATTAATGGGTACTTTTAGTTTTTTTTTTTTTTTTTGCTTTTTTTTTTTCCCCTTCCTCTCATGAAATGTACATGGATGTTCTTGTTTGATTTTCTCTGAGAAAAAATGGAGTCTTTGAAGGAGGAAAGTTAGATGTTTTATTGCATATATCATTCTTTGATCAGCTGCTTCAAGGGTGTAGCTAGTTCTGTTCTTTATTGATTTTTTTATTTTTTATTTTTTAAGTTTCTTTCTCTCCTGCTTTATGATATGCTGTTGTAACATTTTTTTTTTTTTTTTGGGTGTTAGATGTTTGCCTTCTTTTTTAGAGCTTTTCTATCCCCAATTTGGATTTTGCTTTGAAACAAGTATTGGAATTAATAACAACAACAACAACCTGCTCTAATGGTATCTTTGTTGTTTCATTACCACTACCATCTTATAACTTTGAAATGTTTAAATTATTGCAGGGTATGAAGCTCCAAACTTGAGGTACATGGATTTTCCATACCCGATTTCTGCAGCTACATTTCTGAATTTTGCTTAATCTGCCAAATTAAATTCTTGGAATATGGATTCTTTTTTAATTTAGATTATTGAATTCGATAGCAAATAATGTGGGAAAGGGATGATCCCAGCTGGTACTTAGGCATTTTATTTAGATGAGCCTTCCTTCAAATTCAATCTATTCTTAAATATATCTGCGCGCACGCGTGTGTAGAAACTGATGCCGGCTGCTTGTCTGTTGTAAAGGAAGTTGGCCGACAAGATTGCAGAAGCTGGATTCTTTGTGGCCATTCCCGACTTCTTACATGGCGATCCTTTCGTGCCCGGTGATGCTAGCAGGCCTATATCAGTTTGGATAAAAGACCATGGAACGGTTGGTTGAAATTCTTGTAACTGTTTAAATGATCTTTTGAGGGGCAAGAATCTCCAATGTGATACTTAAAGTTGTTGCTGAATTTCATCACGAATTAGTTTTTCAGTTGTCTATTATAAAAATTCTCACGTAAATCAGGTCTCTTCAAAGACGATTCTGAATTCATTTTGGCAGTTTACTGGTAAAGTTGTCGTTGATAGAAGTTTTCTAAAAGTGGCTGGGCTATTGTTATCTCTGTTATTGGACATTTGCTTGAATTTCAAAAAGTTATTGATTGCATTTTCATGTTGAAATCTTGGAGTCTGAAGCCTTTACTTGGTTTCATAGGATAAGGGATGTGAAGAAGCAAAACCAGTAATAGAAGATTTGAAAAGTAAGGGGTTTTCTGCAATAGGTGCTGCTGGCCTTTGTTGGGGTGGTAAGTTTATTATTAATGTTAAGAAGTCCTAGTTGTATTGACTTTGCTTAGTCAGTTAGGAATTACACTTGTAAAGCTTTCATTGGTTTAGTTTGTTACAAGTTGTTACTTGTAATAACTTATGTATAAATAAGCTGTTGTAACAGTTTTTACAGTAATGAGAATTCAGTTTCTTTCTCACTCATCGAATATTCTTTCTCTCTTAGAATCCTCTAGAATCTAAGTAGAATTCTTTACAATTAGCATGCTTTTTGTTTCATTGTTCTCGAATTTCTTGTCGAAGGGTTGGTAGAGTCAAAAATTGCTAGTTCAATCAGCAGCTTCATTAAACACAAGCAATTTGTTGATTAAGCTTACTCATATAAATCTTGTTTTCAGCCAAGGTTGTAGTTGAACTTGCAAAGCTCGACAACCTTATCCAGGCTGCTGCGCTCTTACATCCTTCCTTTGTCACTGTAGATGATATCAAAGGTATGCTTCCGGCTCTTAACTCTATAGTATATGAGAAGTATACTTACTGAGAAATACACTTTCATATGCGGCACATATTATCGTTTGAAACAACTTGGGAAAATATATTTTCAATTTAAAATGTTGTGCAACTTCTTTACTGAAATTAGTCTATTCCTCTCAAGTTTCACATATTCTTGAGTACTTTATTAATCTTCACATATTGAGTATATAGAAGAGAGAGAGAGAGAGAGAGAGAAATTAACATTATTGATTGCTATAAAATACTTTCAGAGGTCAACGTTTCAATTGCCATACTTGGAGCTGAGCATGACAACCTTTCTCCTCCACCGCTCGTGAAACAATTTGAGGAGGTCTTAAAGGCAAAGTCTGAGGTATGAACATCCTTCATGAAAACAATGTCCAACATGCTTTCTGCATTTTCCTTTGCCTATTTTGCCGAACTAATTCACGTTCATCATAGACGCCTCTTTTGTCCTCAGTATGCCTTTTGCATTTCCCGTCTTTAAGATTAGCTTGTGATTGTCATAAACGGTTAACGCTCTCAGTTTTCACTTTAAATGATGTTTCGTCATGTACAGATTGATTCCTTTGTGAAGATATATCCAGGAGTCTCGCATGGTTGGACCGTCAGATATGATGTTCATGATGAAGCTGCTTCTAAGCGTGCAGATGAGGCTCACAAGGACTTACTAGCTTGGTTCATCAAGCATGTTAAGTGAAGAGCTTCATAACCAACCGGTACCTTAATTTTACCTTAATGTTACGTAAGAGAATCACGTGTATGGGATCATGGACTACTTAGGCATCCATGTTCTGAATAAATAGTTTGGACTTTCTATGTACTAGTTTTTTGTTGGAAGGATTTGGCCATTTGTTTGATAGTTTCAGGTATGGATATGTGTATGTGTATGCGTGAAGGATCTGTATTTGTATATCAATAAAAAAAAGGAAAAAAGGAGAGAAAATGATTTGCCATGGTTTTTTTCAGGTCTATTATTTATATTATTCTAAATAATTAGGTGCTATCGCTTCCTTTTGTTTTCTCTTTATTAATTGAATGACAATTGTTTATTTTCGAAGGAAGTGGCATAAATAATAGGCTTTTACCATCTAGAGTTCCAAATTGTTATAGGGGTGGAGCCCCACATGGGTTATGGACCAGGGCAGGCAAGTCCAACAGAAGATGGACTTAGTGGGAGTAGGCCAATGGACGGTCCGACCCCTTCCACATCTCTAACTGGAAAGTGAATAGAGAAACGAGAAAATTTCTCATTGAGGATCATACGGTTGTTGGAGTTCCAACACTGATATGGTAGCCACCTGTTAGGCTGCAGCCTGCAGCCCCACACAGCTTATGGGACAGGTTGGGTCTGCCCAATGGACAACCGACGATGGACTAAGCCAACGTCCCAACGGCGGGTCCAGCTCGTTTGCCATCTCTAGAGACCATGAATAGAGGATCAAGAAAATTTATCATTGAGTTGCCTTTCCAGCTCGTTTGCCATCTCTAGAGACCATGAATAGAGGATCAAGAAAATTTATCATTGAGTTGCCTTTATTGAGAACCATACGGTTAATGAGAGTTCCACACCTGATAGGTGATATAGCCACCTGCAGCCCCACACGGGGTTAAGGACCGGATCAGGTTAGTCCGACAAGTCGTCCAAAAGGACGCCCTGATTCGCTTGATCTCTCTAAATAAAATCATTAGAGAACCAAGGAAAAAAAATTGTGTTAGATCTGATGTAACGTCTGATGTTTCAGATGATATTAGAACATTGTCTGGAATACGGCTTGATTAATTAAGATCCGGGTTTCTTACTGTTCAAATTGTTCGAGTAGAATAAAGTGCAGAAATCAAAAGAACACACAATATGGTATCGCAGTTTGGTGCGCACACTTATTCTGCAGGGTCACGCCCAGACAATAAACAGTTTCACTATACTTCAAGAATTACAACATTGACGGACTTATTCACTGAAGGACTCCCTTCTAGACTATGACGCCGCTGTGATGAAATCGCACAATGACTTTGTTTAGCGTGCACCACACGTCTTCTAAACTGCACGACGAACTCCCTTCGACCGACAAAGTTTCCTCCCAAAAGCAACAAATCTCTCTCCTGAAGGACGATCTCAATAACGCACAAGCCTCTCACAAAAAACTCACTCTTTTATGAAAATATTCTATAAAACCTCTCTACCATTATCAGCTGCAATGAAACTTTAAATAAAGCTTCCTCCATGTTCTCTCCACGTTGAGCATTTTTTTAAATTCAAACTAAAAACTAAATCTCCTTTTGAATCCGGATTATACACCCCTTATCTAAATCCGATTCAAATATTATATATACCAACATCTTTATCTTCACGTTGACTTCATCATCATCTTTTTGGCATTTATATACTCTTAGCCATCTCCACGTCAATGCCCATCAAAATCATTCACACACAAATATATATATATATCCAAAGATGATGCCTTTGAAGTGTATCTCGTAGTTACCAAATTGAAACAAACCAATGCATATTCGGATTATACATCTACTTTTTAAATCCGAATTACTCTTTTAAAATAGTAACTTAATCCCCACATTATCTCTTTCTATAATCTCATTTAAATTCAAATAATTAATGCATTATCTTCCTTTGACCAGGGTATTATCTCTTTATCTCTCTAAATCTCAACCAATGTCTTATCTTCCTTTGACCAAGCTTTTATCATTATCTCTTCAAAACTCAACGCAACAAAATCTGTAACTTTAACTTCAAATCTGATTCTAAATCTTCTTCTGCAATACGAAATCTTCTTAAATTTATTTTTAAAATTTTTACACAATTACCAATAAATTGCCAAACTAATAAAAATACTTGCTATACCAATCTAGTAATTTCAGTATGTTACTCGTGATGCGTATTGGGTTCTGTAAAAAATTAAAAATTCGTGGTGTGCTGTCACTGTGGAAAACAAATGTTGCGACTGGGGGTAGAAAGTTGAAAACCAGCAAGATGGTGATTTGCTTAGTGCCCGTCTATTTGGTGGCTATTTTTAGTTTCTTATCACCACACAAATGAGGTGGAGAGGGACCTCTTTGTTCTCATGTTTTATTGTATTTTATTGTGCGCATAGTTTTAATTAGTTACTATAATATTTATCCATTAATGGACATTATTATTTTAATCGTAAGATATTAATCGGCCGGTTATAATAAATTATATAGTTGATTAACAAAATTTATGACAATTAATAGAACTAAATTCTTATCTCGTCACGTCATCAAATTTTTCTATTTGATAGTAACCACTGACCGATCGAAACGTAACTATTGAAAACTCGTTGATATATATATATATATATAAATTACATTAAAACAACTAATCCCTCAACATCACTTCAATGAAAGTGGGGAGTTCCGGAATAGAAATTGGTCATAACTAAGATTTGGATAAGGCACTAAATAAGTGGATGACAAACAATATTGCTTATTGTCCCTTATAAGTGGGGTTCTAAATCAATACATTTCCTATTTGGCTTTCCAAATCAGTTTTTTTGGTTTTTTTTTTCTTTTCTTTTTTCTGAATTTTAAAAACCACAATCCCCTTACGAAAATAAGCTCTCCAAAATCAAGATGAGTCGGTACACCAACTTGCAACAATATTGAGGAAAGCAATCCATGTCTAAGTTTTTTAAGCTTTTGCCCGTTTGACATAATTTTTGTTTTTGTTTTTACATAGCAGAATAAGAGAAATAAATAAAATGGAAGAATGTAGTAAATAATATATTTATAAAATTAAATTAAGTAATAGCATATTTTAAAACTTTTTAAAGTAAATGACAGTTTATTGTGTAATTCTTTTTTTTATAATTGATAAAAAATAATTTTTCTGGTAAAAAATTTATATTTGCGTGAGAAAAATATTTTTACCAGTCGCAAAGAAAATTTACATGAAAAAAAAATCTTTTTACTAGCCATAAATAAAATATTTACACAATAAACTATTATTTATTTTAAATAATTTTAAAATCTATTATTTATTTAATTTAGTTTCAAAAATATGTTATTTACTACATTCTCCCTTTCTATTTTTGGTATTTGTTTATTGTATAGGATATACTAAAATGTGGTTGCACCTTGCTTTACGTGGAGCTGATGCTCATCTGTACAATGAACATTTTAAACATTTTGTTTTAAAGTAAATAACAGTTTATTTACTCTCTTCAAGAATTTTTAAAGTAAACATTTTAAACATGTTGTTTTAAACAGTTATTTTAAAGTCAACCTCTTCAAGAATTTTAAACATTCTGTTTTCAGTTATATGGTGGCTCTTTTTTAAAGTTCGATATCGTTGTCTTTTATTTATTTATTTATGGAATCTGGTCGCATTATGCAGATTATCAACAATGGCTTTGCATATCCTGTTGATGGAGATGTATTCTTTGCTGTTGATAAATTTCCAAATTACGGTCAATTTTCTGGACAAAAGTTGGAAAACATTCGAGCTCCTGAACGTGTAGCTGTTGATTCAAGAAAGCGTAATCCAGCTGACTTTGCATTGTGGAAGGTCTAAAAAATTCCATCAAGTTTCTTATTTCTTATCTGGTTAATATCTTACTAAATACTATATTTTATTTTTGCAGGCTGCAAAGCCGGGTGAGCCTAGTTGAGATAGCCGGTAGTAGAGCTGTAAATTTAGGCCGAGTTAAACGGACAGTCCGGTCCTAAATTTTTTAAACTTAGAGTCAGGTTAAGTCGATTTCTCTCGCCAGGCCGGTCAAAATATCATATTTTTTAATTTTTTTTTAAAAATACCTTATAAAATTCCGAGTTAGCTCTAAATTTTTGGACTTATGGCCGAGTTGAACCAATCATCTCTCTTTTAAAATCGGCCCGGACTAACTTGAAATTTTCTTTTGGACAGGGCCGAGCGGTCCAAACTTACACCCGAAGACTCCTGGAAGACTTGGGTGGCATATTGAATTCAGTGCTATGCGTGCCCCATATTTAACATTCAAGTTTGATATTCATGGTGGTGGAATTGATTTGATCTTTCCACATCATGAAAATGAGATTTGCCCAAAGCTGTGCCGCATGCCAAGAGAGTTGTGATGGACAATGTTACTAATAACAATGAGAAAATGTGAAAGTGCTTGGGCAATTTTTTCACCATTCGCCAGGTAAATAGTTATCTTTTTGTATGGTTTAGGAGCTTCAACCTGATTTCAATTAGATATCCACTGGCTTTGAGACACTTTTTGATAAATGCGCATTATCGGTCACCACTGAATTACAGTCTCCCAACTGGATACTGCCTCATTGAGTTTGACGCATTTGAGTTTACTCTGTTTTTTTTTTTTTTTTTTCATTTTTTTAGGGGTTGTTTGGAATTTGTACTCAAATTCAAATCATAATTCTGCTAAAATATTTTTTATCTCATAAAGAGTTTTAATTTTAAAATTTCTTCTCTCACAAAGTTCCTGCCAATAAACCCAAATTATAATTTGAGTATACCTTTTAAACGGGCCTTTAATATTTTGGTTTGAGAGGATGTCTTTAGGCTAAACAAGCAATTCAATCTTACATGTATGTGCCGCACAATACAAGAATTGGGGATTTGTAACCCTTTCTCATTATATAATGTTATCGAAAGAAATCCATACTTTTAACCTTTTTCCCTATTAAAATCATTAACAATCATCAACAAGAATGTTTATTTAGGAGTCTAAAGGTTAAAATAACTTGATGTAATTTTAGGAGACTTAAGAGAGTTTATAAAGTTTGTCTCCATAATCAGGAACTCTACTGTAGGAATGTCCCAAGTGAGTAGTAACAATACCGGTAAAATATGAAATAATAAACAAGAAATGTAATTTTACGAGACCTTGTAAAAAAAAGCAATAAATGTAAATCTTGACTTATTTTGAAAAAGTTTGGGTGCATTTGGAATTCGTTCTAAAATGATTTTATTTTCT